CACCTAAATCCCAACACAGAGTCAATTGCCAGTCATTATAGTGAACTACCAGCTGCTACCAACTACCAACTACTACCAGCTTCCCAGCCGAGTTGATACCTGACCTTAACTACCACAGCACCCCAAACAGGCATGGATAATGGGATTTACAAAACATCACAGAATGGAAGACAGTGGCTAGAAGGGCCATATCAAGCAATTTACCACAATTACATTTTTTCAAGTCTATAGCATGGATGTAGACAGACTACTTATCAATGCTTAAAGTAAAAATTCAGTAACTTTTTTCCATTTTCCATAGTGATAATTTCCTCATCTGATCTGCTTCCTTTTCCTAAGTCTTTTCAAGACAAACATTTGTCTTCCTTCCCACTTTCAGTCTCTTATAGCACCTCAGTAGAGTTTAGACTAAGCACATAGTTTTTTTTTCTCTTTAAATTTTATTTGTTTGGTTGTTGTTGAGAATATACAGAGCAAAATATACACCATTTTGTTTCTGTATTTACAATTTAGTGACATTGATTACATTCTTCAAGGTCTGTAACCATTCTCACCTTCCTTTTCTAAATTGTTCTTCCCTCATAAACATAAACTCATTGCTCACAAAGGGTACTATCTAATCTTTCAAGTTGCTGTTGTCAGTTTGATCTATAGGTAGTTCTTAAAAGAGAGAAATGTTCAAGGCAGACATTTTTTACTAGTTAAGCTACACTGTTGTTTGGTTTTAAGAAGACTACAGGGAATATTTTTGGCTTAAGTTTTAAAGATTATCTCAGGGCAAAAGTTTCAGGGGTTCATCCATTCTCCATGGCTACAGAAAGTCTAGAGTCCATGAGAATATGAATTCTGTATATATGTTTTCCCCTTTTCATCAGGATTCTTCTATGGACTCTTTGATCAAAATAGGAATGGTAGCGGGGCACCATGCAGTTCTTCTGGTCTCATGGCAAAGAAGGCAGTTGCTCATGGATGTAATAAGTCACACCTTCCACATCTTCTTCCTGTTCCTGATTCTCCTTCTTTATCTTTTGCTCCTGGTGAATAGACACTAATTATTGTGCCTTGAATGGCCACTTGCAAGCTTTTAAGACCCCAGGCACTATGCAACAATTAAGAGGTAAAGCAGAAGCACTAAATACATTATTAGGCCAATTAACTGGGATGTTGCACAGAGCTTTTTTTCCCCCAATCCAATTCTTCCATTCATTGAGGTTCTTGCAAAAAAGAATGGGGAAAAGACTTTTTATTATTATATTTTTACCTTCCTCTTTCTGAGTTTCAAGGAGCTCTGATGGCACAGTGGTTATAGCATTTGGCTGCTCACCAAAAGGTCAGCAGTTTGAACTCACCAGTTGCTTTGTGGGAGAAAGATGAGGCAGTCTGATTCTGTAAAGATTTATAGCCTTGAAACACTATGGCTTAGTATTCTAGTCTTCCTTGTAGGGTTGCTGTGAATCAGAATTGACTTGATGGCAGTGGTTTTTTTTTTTTTTTTTTCATTCTGAGTTTTCATCTACAGTTTACACAAAATATGAATAGATGGTGCAACTTGGAATCTTAATATGAAGCTTTGACCCATTTTAATCCAATGGTCCATTACTTTTGTTCTCAGGCTAACTGTCCTCCTCTCCAGTTTCAATAGATGCTTTTAATCTTCATTTTATTTAAAGTTTTGACAATTATAGGCAATTTTTTGATGCATAGGAAGACACTAAATTCACTGTTTAATAGCAGTCTTTGTTTACAAAGAGTTTAACTTGCTATAGGAACAGAACTAAATGAGACAAAGGACTGAATGGGAAGAGTAAATTTTTGGTGGGGCCACGTGGGTTGATCTTTGGTTCTGTCACTTACTGGTTTTTTGACCTTAGTCAATTCAGGCAACCTTTGTGAAGTTCAGGGTTTTTTTTTATTTTAAATTTAATTTCCAACCAAACATTAGACAGGCCTATGAAGTGAGGTAAGTCTACTCCTTAGAACAATCAACAATGGGAGGTCAGAAGGGCAGTATTTGCACAAGGAGATAGCTCAGAGGGCAGAAATGTATGGGAAAGAAGGACACAGGGAAAAGTAACTACAGGGAGGAAGTGGGAAGAGAGCTGTTGCATTGTGGAGACTGCAATCAATGTCATGAAACAAAATGTGTGTAAGTTGAATGGAAAAATCAATATGCTCGGTAAACTTTCACCCAGATCATAATTAAAAAAAAAAAAAGTCCCTCTCAGAATAAAATGATATATGAAAAGTAAGCTTTAACCTGTAAAGTTTTTTCTGTTCTTTTTTTTTCCAAACTGGCTATGTTTATATTATAATATCTTTAATATACTGTAATAAAGATAAGTAAAGAGAATTAAAAATTTCTGATGAAACAAATTTAGTGAAAATGCTGGCATGTCAGCTGTTTCAAAAATTTAACAAAGGCAATGATAAACGTTTGGAATGATATACATTTTGATAAATTGTTTTTAAACTTCTCTATGTATGAAATTTATGATACATATAAAGGAGTGTTTATAATGTATATGCACATTTTAAGTAATAATAAAAGTAAAAATCACCAATGTAATTATTACCCAGTTTAAGAAGTAGAACATTAGTAATCGAAAATCATGGCTTTAATTACCTCCTATGCGCTAATGAATCCAAATTTAAATGTGTAGTCTTGACCTCACTGTTGAACTCCAGATTTGTGTATCCAGCAGCATACCTAATATTGGTACTTGATGTCTAGTGGATATCTCAGATTAAATTAATATCTGTAAAGCTTAATTCCTGACTTCTCTCCCACCCATCTGTTTCTCTGTAACCAAAGCCACTGCTGTTGAGTAGATTCCAACTCATAGTTACCCTATCAGACAGTATAGAACTGCGCCAGAGGGTTTCCAAGGCTGTGAATTTTTATGTAAGCAGAAAACCTCTTTTTCCCACGAAGCAGCTGGTGGGTTCAAACTGTCAACTTTTTGGTTAGCAGTTGAATACTTTACCCACTGCACCACCACAGCTCCTCTATTCCTCTGTACTCTTTTTTATCTTAGTTAATGACAACTCTGTTTTTCTAGTTGCACAGGCTGAAGACTTGAAATTTTGATCCCATTTCTTTCCCCTCACACCCATGTAGAAGCTATCAGTGTATCTTATTGACAATTCATTAAAAATAAATCCAGAATATCACTTCCCAGCACCCCTAACTAGTCCTTGCTATTGGTATCTCTTTCTAGATTATTGTTGTACCTTTCCAACTGATATCTTTACTTCTGTTGTTTCCTCTCTTATAATCTATTTTCTGCCAAGAAGCCTGAGTGATCTTGTTAAAAGTAAGTCAGGTAATGCCTTTTCTCTGTTCCAAATACTCCAATAACTTCCTGTCCTACTCTCAGGGCAAATATTTGACATTATCTGACTTTCTGGTAACTCTCTCTTCTCTTCTTTGACTATTCTCCTCTTTGCTCATTCTTTTCCAGCCGCAGTTGTATCTTGTTCTTCCTAAACATATCATTGAGCTTGTTGGCTTTGAGAGTTTCTAAAGCTAGAGACTTTTGATCTGACATCTTTCCCTTCTCGAAGACCAGAACTTCCTGTTCTCTTCCTTGCATAGCTCTTAGTACCCTAGCTCTGGTAGCATAGTGGCTAAGACACTTGCCTGCTAACCAGACGGCTGGCGGTTCAAACCCACCAGCCACTCCTCGGAAGGAAGGTTGGGCAATCCTACTTCCGTAGTGATACTGCCTCGGAAGCCCAAGGAGGGGTCGCTATGAGTCGGGGCCGACTCGACGGCACATAACAACAACAACAACAGGCCATTAGGTGAGAATGGTATCCTCAAACTAATGCCCATTTAGAATTCTCATTACTTTTCTCATTTTAAACCTTCTTGTCTTTTTTTTTTTTTAATTGTTATTATAAAATCATTGTGGTAATAGATATATAACAATTTTTGCCATTTTAACCATTTTTAAGTATATAATTCATAACATTAACTGCATTCACCATGTTGTGCAGCCATCACCATTATTTCCAAAAAGTTTTTCATCACTGCAAACCCCTTAAGCAATTAACTCCCATTCCCCCTTTTCCCTAACTCCTAGTAACCACTAATAAACTTTGGTCTGTATACATTCACCTATTTTAAATATTTCATACAAGTGGAACCATATATTGTATTTCCTTTTGTGTCTCCTTATTTTATATAGCATAATGTTTTCAGGATTCATCCATGTCATAGCATCTATCAGAACCTCATTTTTCTTAATGGCTGAGTGCTATTCCATGGTATGTATATTCCACATTTGGTTTTTTCATTTATCCATTGTGGACACTTGGGTTATTTCCCCCTTTTGGCTTTTTGAATAATGCTGCAGTGAACACTGGAATACAGCTATCTGTCTGAATCCTTGCTTTCTTTCGGTCTTATACCTAGAAGTGGAATTGCTGGGTCATATGATAATTCTATGAGAGCTCTGGTGGTGTAGTGCCTAAGGTATTTGACTGCTAACCAGAAGGCTGGCGGTTCAAAAACACCAGCCACTCCTTGGTAGGAAGGTTGGGCAATCTACTTTCATAGAGATATTGCCTCAAAAACCCAAGGACGGGTCGCCATGAGTCAGCATTGACTCGACGGCAGTGAGTTTGGTTTTGTTTATGGTAATTCTATATGTAGCTCTTTGAAGAATGACCAAATTGCTTTCTACAATGGCTGTACCATTTTATATTTTTATTAGCAATAGATGAGGGTTCCAGTTTATCCACATCATCACTAACACCTGTTATTTTCTAATAATAGCCACCCTAGTGGTTATGAAGTCCTTTTGTCTTTTGTTCTGTAGGGAATTCCTTTACTCTGCTGCCAATGCAGTTCATTAAAAAAGATTATATTTTATTCAGCATTTTCGGTGTTTTCTTTGTCTGCCATATTGAACTTAAAGTCTTAATGAATTGTTATTAACTTGAGAGGTAAGATCATTGATTTCTTAAAATAATTTTGTTTTGTTTCTTGAATTAAGGATGGAAGACTCCGGACAGGGGACCATATCTTGAAGATTGGTGGCACAAATGTACAGGGAATGACCAGTGAGCAAGTTGCACAAGTGCTGAGGAACTGTGGGAATTTAGTCAGAATGCTCGTTGCTAGAGACCCAATTGGTGAAATTTCAGTAACCCCTCCTACTCCTACAGCCTTACCTGTTGCCCTGCCTGCTCAGGCCAACAGGAGCCCTGGTTCTGTGAGTATAAAAGTACTTTTTTCATCTTAAATTAAATAGTGGGTATGATACACTGCAAGATTAGAAATTCCTCCAACTTGGAACTCCACTAGTGACAGTAGTATCTAAATGCTCACCAGTGAAGCATGACCAAAGGAGAACCCAATTCGAAGACACGGCATATGTTTGAATTCCTTTTTTGTTGTTTCTCAGTTATAAGTCATTCAACCTCCTGGAGCCTCAGTTACACATCTGTAAATTGGAAAACTGTACTATTTGCTATGTCTAGTTCATTAGATTGGTGAGAAGATATCCAGATGGTGTAGGGGAAGCTAAATACTGGTCAATATATGAGAATTATCAGTGATAGGAACATACTGGCAAAAGGCAATGCCTGTAAAAACCAGTTACTGTCAAGTAGACTCCAACTCATGGAGATCCCATGTGTGTCAGAGGAGAACTGTGCTGCACAGGGTTCTTAAGGCTGATTTTTTGATCATCAGGTCTTTTTTCAGAGACATCTCTGGGTGGAGTTGGATCTCTAACCTTTTGATTAGCAGTTGGCACCTGAACTATTTACATCACCTGGGGTCTCTGCAAAAGGCAATGATTTATTTTTATAATTCAAAAAAAAAAAAAGAAAGGAGCTCTGGTGGCGTAGTGCCTAAGGTATTTGACTGCTAACCAGAAGCCTGGTGGTTCAAACCCACCAGCCACTCCTCAGAAGGAAAATTGGGCAATCAACTTCTGTAGAGTTACCACCTCGGAAACCCAAGAAGGGGTTGCTATGAGTCAGAATTGACTTGATGGCAGTGAGTTTAGTTTTATAATTACTAATGATATATTTGGAGCCCTGATGGCATAGTGGTTAAAGCATTTGGCTACTAACCAAAAGGTTTCTGGTTTGAATGCTCTAGCTGCTTCACGGGAGAAAGATGTGACAGTTTGCTTTCTTAAAGATTTATAACCTTGGGAACTCTATGGGGCAGTTATACTCTGTCCTCCAGGGTTGCTATGAGTTGGAATCATCTAGAGAGCAGTGGGATATAATAATTATGATTATTAACCATTTTGAAGCACCTAGAATTTTCCAGGTCATCTGATACCCTCATGATAATCCTGCAAGATAGGTTTTATTGTACATTTTATAGATGAGGAAACTTAAGTCCAAATAAATGAACTTGTTAAAAAGTTATATAGGGAGTAACTTAAAAAATTGGGATTTGAGTTTGGATTTTTCTGGTTCATTTCAAGCTTTTCCCAGCAGTCTCACAGGCTTTGAATCAAGAGATAATAAGGCAGAAGGAAAAGGAAGAGGAAAAGAAAGACAAGTACTTACGATGTGAGAGGTAGAATGCTGCTGTCCATCATCATCTGAGGGGTCACTGTGTCTTCTAAAAAGTTGTTTGCCTTTCCCTAATTGGAACTCCATGAATGGAACTTTTCCGTCTGTGATATTAGAACTTTTTTTTTTCTTTTCCAAGTTTTGATTTCAATCATTTTCTTTTCCCTTCATTAATTCTTTGGAGCCTTCTACTTACTTCACAGTGAATAGCCACTGTTGCAGTGATGAGGTTCTCACTCCTGTAGATCTCAGAATTTTATAGTCCAGTTCATTTCATTTGTACAGTCATCTGCTGAACTTTACCTTTGTGGAGTGTTAGATTAAAACCTCAATTGGCCATCTGGGAAATTTGAAATTCCTCTCTCCATTATACCAGTAGCATAATTTCATAATCTAGCGAGTCTCAGGAGTCCTTAGCTGGTTCAACTAGTTAATACGCTTTGCTGCTAATCATGAGATTTGTGGTTCAAGTCCACCCAAAGAAGCATCCAAAGAAAGTCCTGATGATCTACTTCTGAAAAACCAGCCTTTGAAACCCTTTGGAGCACAGTTTTATCTTACACACATGAGATTGCCATGAGTTGGAATCAACTTGATGACAACTGGTTTAGCAAGTCTCAATTATACATTGCCAGGTAGCTGCCAATTATGACATAAGACATGTATGTAAAAAAAAAAAAAATCAGAATCAGAGAGGTTGTAAAATATTTCCTTCTGAGGAATCTACTATTTAATCTTTCTTTAAAAGTAATTGTTTAATAACTTTACAGTTCTTTTTTTTCCCCCCAAGTTAGTATGTGTCTACCCATTAGGCAGTGGTTTGCCCTCTCTTGCCCACCCATCCCTGGTAACAATCAAAGCATATTTCTTGTCATGTGAAACCCTTTTCTTGACATTTTACAATAGTGGTTTCATACAGTATTTGTCCTTTTGTAATTGACTAATTTCACTTGGCATAATGACCTCTAAAGGAGCTCTGGTAGCAGAATAACTAAGGCATCTGACTGCTAACCAGAAAGTTGGTGGTTCAAACCCACCAGATACTCCGCGGAAGCAAGACTAGGCAATCTACTTCCATAAAGATTTACCACCTTGGAAACCCAGTGGGGGTCAGTATGAGTTGGAATTGACTCAATGGCAATAGGTTTGGTTTGGTTTTAATGGCCTCTAAGTTCACGCATGTCATGAGATGTTTTGCATTGTTCTTTAACATCGTGTAATATTCCATTGTGTATATGTACCATAGTTTATTGATCCATTCCTCCACTGATGGACATTTAGGTTGTTTCCATCTTTTGGCTATTGTAAATAGTGCTGCGATGAACATGGGTGTGCATATATCTGTTTTTGTCATGCCTCTTATATCTCGAGGATCTTTAGCTAGTAGTGGATTGCTGGATTATACAGTATTTCTATTTCCAACTTTTTAAGGAAGCACCATACTGTTTTCCATAGTGGTTGCACCTTTTTACAGTCCCACCAGGAATGCATGAGTGTTCCAGTCTCTCCACACCCTCACCAGCATTTGTTATTTTCTGTCTTGTTGAACTTTGCTATCATTGCTGGGGTGAGATAATATTTCATTGTTGTTTTGATTTGTGTCTCTCTAACGGCTAATGATCACAAGCATTTCTTCATGTGTTTGTTAGCTGCCCAAATGTCCTCTTTGGTGAAGTGTCTGTTTATGTCCTGTGCTAATTTTTAAATTGGGTTATTTGTCTATTTTTTTTTTATTAGGATTTGGGTGAAGATTTACAGAGTAAATTCACTTTTCATACAGCAGTTCACATATACTTTGTCTCATGTCATTGACC